GGGAAGTCCGAAATAGGAATTCCGATTTGGGATATCCCAAGTTTAACTTGGGACATAGTGACGTTTGGGCTACAACATTTACATTTGCAATTTCATGATCCAAAAATTTTTTTGATAAAGTTGTCATTGATGGAGGTGTATCTCCAGGATTAAGTTTTTTAAAAAGGTCAATAATGAAAGGATTTTCCATAATTACAAAAGGTATACCGGCTATAACCCATATCTTAAGTAAAGAATGATTGATTCATTCTATAATTGCAAGTGGTAATTCTTTATCAAATCTAAAATGCTTCAAAATAGTTTGTTGTTTAGATAGTGATTGAGAAGTTAAAACTTTTATTAGATTTGTATAAGCAGTTTTTTTCTGAAGCAAGTTTAATTCTCCAAAACTTACTTATTTTTTCTAGACATTATAAACATTCATTTGCAAGGTGTGCCTTAAGCTTTGTATGTTTTCTTCTTGCCTAAGATTTTGTGTAATGCCCGTCATGTATTTCACTTCCTTTTTAAAGTATCATCACATTTCGGTAACCTTTATTATTTTTAAAAGCATTCTCACTTTCTAAGCAAGATTTATTATATTTCTGAAAGAGATTGATGTTACTTGTATTTCTTCTTGCATTTCTTTTTGCGTTTCTTCTATATTATAAAAACAGTGGCTTAGTAATTTGAATATATAGGTCAATCAACTTTTATAGCATCTGATATTGGTTACGACATCTGATACCAGTTATGCATACGTCACATGATACGGCATACGGCAATGCTTGCATTATCGAGCTGATAATGTACGACCTAAGATAATGATATGTTTGCATCCTTAGTCAGGACTAACTTAGCAGTGATGGCAATTACCTATTCACAATTAATAAATTCAAATCCTATTATCCTTAGAACAATTTTTCACTTCGTGGTATATGGTGTAATAATATTAAGTTTTTATTACTACCCAAAGTGATAATGCTGCACTTGTACAAGATTTTTGTAAGGATTATACTGAACAAAGTATATACAAATATCCAATTGTGAGTTCTTTCGACTTGAATTCAAAGTAATTTTTGGATAGTCCTCCTGATAATCCTGATGATACTAAAAGCTTATATGCTAAAACTATAAATATGACGAGAAGGCTTTAAATATATTTAAAACTTAAAATTTTTAATACAAGACTATTAATATTTATGAATAAAATAATGGATTTTAATACAAGACTATTAATATTTATGAATAAAATAATGGATTTAAAATTTATATAAGTTTTTATGACTTAAAAAATATATATATGATTATCTTTTTTTATTAAATTATAATTATATGCAATTAAGCTTAAAGAATACTATATTCTAGGATAACTAATTGTAATAATCAGTATAATTTTTGGATATATATTTAAATATTTAATAATAATATAGTATTTAAATTTATATTCTGCTAAAACAAAAGCATTCTATATGTATTTAGTATTTATAAGAATTATTTTATAAAAATAATTAATATTTTATAGTATATTTATATTTAAATGATTTAAATTTTAATTTTAACAAAATTCAATATTATTTAAAATTGAATTATCATTATATTTATTATTAACTTATTTAAAATACAAACCATTAAAAGTGTAATTTACATATTTAATTGCTATTTTAAATCTATTAAAAAGTGAAGTTCCAATAACTTCATAATCCCGCGAATGACGAAATTAAAATCCCGTAGTAATGAGAATAGAATTCGTTTAGGAGTTCAGTAAGGTTGGTAAGCAAGTTATATAAGTATAATAGCAACTTTGTCGATTTTTTGACAATTAATACAATTCATGACGCGATTAAGCTTTACGCAATACCGCGCCACAATCTAAACTTTTATAACAAAGATCAAAAACCAAATCAGGCATATTCAATATAATTTCATCTTCTGATTAAATTCCTTTCTCATACAATGATGATAATAATTTCGCTTATATCAATAAACTTTATATTAATTCCGAGGCTAAAAAATTCTAACCAGATCCATTTATTTAATGGTTGCAAAAAATTGTGGCGAAGCCATCATTAACGAAATAATGTGCGTGAATTGGACCGAGTACGTCATTCGGGATTTTTAAGTGTTAGGATTATAAAATTCGAGATTATGACAATTCGGGATGTTGACATTTCGGGATCGGTCTAATGTACTGTAGGGATTTCGAGTGTCTACGGATCTCGATTGTACTCGATTTTATGGAATCGACATATTATAAATATCATTTGTAAAAACGTTGATGATATTCGAAACTGATTAAATATTTAATTTTAATTCAATTAATCGATTAATGAATTGTTAACGTTGTTCTGAAATTAACGTTTAATTATTTTTTTACAAAAAAAAAAAGACGTTGCTATTAATCAGTAAAATAAAAATTAACTCGTATTTTTATTTGACAATTGAATCGAAATTAGATGCCGTGCAGAAACTTTAAAGAAAGCATTCCCTTAAAATTTTATGATTTATATTCCAAGTGAAAATGAAGAGGAACTGTTACTAGAATCAGTTTGTCAGATTTTTTTTTTATTACAATAATCCTTTTAAAATATTATGTGAGAATATTTTTTTAAACATATTTAATTTGCTTTTGTCTGAATGGATCAGAAAACTATTCTTTGGAGAATTTAAAGGTTTATTGATTAAAAAATTTTAATTTATAGTTTAACTGTATATTTTACAAATTAATGTAACTATTTATTCAGTTTATTACAAAAGTTTTTATTAGTCATTACAAATGTTTGGTTGGAAAATTTTCTTTAAAAATTAGATCATTAAATTTATTATCTTTAACTAATGCCCAGCAAATTTTAGTAGTATATGTTCTGCCAATTTTTATTAATGGATATGTTGAATTAATAGTCGAATAATTAACTCTAATTACTAGAAGTAATTTTAGTTACTGTATAAACATCTAATTCGAAAAAGTTAAAACATAACTTGACTCAGAAATTATTTATCTTGAGTTAAATAATTATTTATAAAAAAAAAATTTATCTAAGAAATAAATCTAGATGTCACAAGTTTATATTTTAAGATAATTGATTAATTCAGCTTTCAAATTATTTAAAAGAAGATAATTCTAATAAATTAAGATAACATTCTGAATAATGAGGCAATTTAACATCTTTTATTATTATTTTTTTTTTTTACTTTCAGTTTCTTACGCTTATTGCTGAAGCGATGAAGTGACTTATTTTTTGATTTTTTTTTTTTAATAAATTACTTTGGTACTCTTTGGCTTGGATCCTTTCAGACTTTGCTGATCGCGACTACAATATTTTATTTCTCCGCAGAATCAATTTTTCTTTTCCTTTTTCAAGTAGAAGAATAGGTAAATGAATTTACATTTGAGTTAGATGGAGTGCTGGAGTGCATAGGTTAAGTTTTTTTTTATTTTTTGAATATTTATTTTTCCTTAATATAAATAGAATAAATGGTTGAAGAACTTTCTATTATGACGGGGAATTCCTTATTTATATAGCCCGACATATTAAACCCTTTGAAAAATGATTTTTTTATACGAATCTCGATTAATTCGATCGATTTTGGTAGAATTTATGATTTTAAATTGGTGCTTTTACTGTCTTCAGAACTTTATATATTGATTGTTTAAAGACCGCACAACACTTGTCATAAAATAATATAGAATATTTCCAATTATATCCAATTTTTGCATTTAGTGAGAAGATTCATATGTAAACGTTTTTATAGCTTATTTATTTTATTTTGTTTATATTTTTAGACACTATTATATCAAAAAATAATTTACTCATCACAAAATCGAATTTGTATAGCTATAATTTCATTTCACACCTAGATATGTGACTTTATGATTAAAAGTGAATAATTGAACAAATTCTTTCATTATATTTGTATTAATTATAACTTATTAATATTAAAACGATAACTTAGAAAGCCTTTGTTTTTATTTTAAAAATTTTTAAGAGTATATCATGAAATGCAAAAGGATAGTTGCTAAAAATTTGCATAATTTTATTATTCACTTTATATAAATTTAAGATAAAATGTTTATCAACACTTGTAAAATTGATAATTTACTAAAAAAAAGGAAAGAAATATATTAAATAAAGTTTATAATAAATTATTCTTGGTATTAAAGTAGTTCAATGATATTTCAATAACTACTCAATATGAATTAATTTTCAAGAATTGATTCATAAAATAAAACATGAAGTTACACTCAAATAATTGACGAATTTGTGAAATCTGGCTTTCTGATAGTTGTGTATACAGGTGCTACAGTGTCGATCATATTCTATTATAAAGCCGGAGTTTTCACCCCGTTTATCTTTCCTTTTCTGAAAATCTATTTTTCTATTTTTCATTGCATTATGAAAACTTCACAAATCAAAATGGGCGACGAAAAAGAACAAGTTAAATTACAAAAAAAAGAAGCCCAATTACAAGAAGAATTAAGGGACTCTATTAATGAAGAATTGGTTAATGCTGCAATTGATAGAGCATATGCATTAACTGATAATAAACTTGACAAAGACTTAGATAAACAGCAGGAATTTAGACAACAAACAATTTACGCTGACGAATCTCTCACAAACGAAGAAAAATCAGAGCAATACGAGTATTAATCTTTAATTATGAATTTCTCAAGATTACCTTAAATCAAGGAATGAAAAGAGTTTGTGAAAATTGCAAACAAGAATGTTTTGCAATATCATTTTGCGAGAATTGTATTCGAAATTATTTAAAATTAAAATTTTTAGAATGGACATCTAGAAATAATGAAATTGATAATTTAATAAAGAAATGTCAGATGGAAGCTATTCTTCCATATAGAATAGTTGAATGGATCCCATTCGATAAATTGAAAATATCAAATATTTAACTAAAGGTAGATGTTCAGAAATATATACGGCAGATTGGATTGATGGATATTATAATGAATGGAATTCTATCAGAAAACAATTAATAAGATATGGAAGACATGAAATCATACTTAAAAGATTAGAAAATGTCGAAAGTGCTAATAGAAGTTGGTTTGAAGAGGTATGTAATTTTAAATGTATTATTAATTGTTGTTTTTTTATAAAAAAAAATAGAAAAAAATAATAATCAGTTGAATTCTCATTTTTAGGCTGAATCTCAATTAATATTAAGCAGTAAATGGCCAGCTTTCGCTAAATCTTATGGTCTTACTCAAAATCCACAAAATAAAGATTATTTTCTTGTAATGCACTTATTCAACATAGATTTAAAAAAATATTTACAACAAAATCATAACCTACTTACATGGAAACAAAGAATCAACATAATTAAAAGCATAATCAAAGCAGTTTTACGCCTTCATTATGAAAATTCTATTCATAGAGATTTGCATTCAGGAAATATATTATATTCTGAATACAATGGACAATGGCGTATTAGTGATTTTGGATTTTGTGGACCTGCTGATAAACCATTAGAAAGTATATATGGAAATCTTCCTTATATAGCGCCTGAAGTTATTAATGGAAAAGGATATACTTTTGCATCAGATATTTATAGCATCGGTATGCTTATGTGGGAAATTTCATCTGGACAACAGCCATTTGCTGACTTTGAACATAATTATGATCTTGCAATAAACCTAATAAAAGGATTGAGACCACAAATTGTACAAGGAACTCCAACAGAATATAAGAAATTAATCGTACAATGTTGGGATGCTGACCCATTAAAGAGACCTGAAACATTTAATAACGAATTTTTAGAAATTCATAAATCATATTTTCAAGATAAAAATGATGAGAGTCATAATATTAGTAATACATATGATACAAATTTTGATATAAACTCTAAATCGATTAACTCGTTAGCTGGAAAATTTAACAAAATTTATATTTTTGAAAATTTACCTGAACCAAGAAATGCTACTAAAGGTAAATTATTGATTTGTAATTATTAAATGATAATTGAAATTATTTAAATTTGTTTATTTTTAATTAATAGAAGAACAAGAAGGTAGGTATATATTTAAAAAATTAAAATTCAATATTATTATTGATAATTATTTTTAACAAAGCATATGATAGTAAGCAAAATAGCCTGGATATTCCAAATTGTAAGTATTTTAAGCTTTTACAAACAATTTTAAAATTTTATTAATTTATTTATTAAACCACCAAAGTTATATGTAAAGAAAAAAGCGAACAGAATGAAGATGCAAAGCAAATTAGTAAGATTATTTTTATTGTAATATTTATTTTAAATTGGTTTATATAGTTTAATAATTTAAAAATATTTATACATTTAATATTATAGATGTAAATGTTGAAATAAAAGGAAATTCTAAAAGAAATTATTCTGATGGTAATGATGAATTTATTTATACTATTAAACTTAATCGATTTGCAATAGTTATTTCTAATAAAAATTTTTCGTTAGAAAATGAAAATTCGTGCACGAAATCTAAAAAAATCAAACCTAATCATATTTGTATAAATTTTATAATTATTAAATTAAACATTTTCTTAGAAATCCCTATAAACTTCAATAATAATGGACAAAAAAATTATATTAAAAGTGACGGTAAGGAATTACTTTTAAATAATTTATTTATTAAACGATTAAATAATTATTTTATTAAATAATAGATGAGGAAATATATAATAATCCAAACATTCATCCGGAAGATCAAGATGATTTGGAAATTCCTTGCCTTGAGTAAGTAATATAAATAACTTACGATTACTATATTATAATGATTTATTTAATTAATAATTTTTTAGTGAAACTTCGAGTAATAGATAAAATATACATTTTAAGTAATATTTGGTGTAGCAAATTATTTTATTAATAACTTATTATTTATTTCTTTTATCAATCAACATATAGTCGAAACTTTAATTTAATTTTGATATTTGAGTGTCTGCAAGCACATGAACAATATCCCTCTTTATTTTTATTTGAATACAATAATTATTATAATGTGCTTTCATATCAAGTGCGAGCGATTTACATATATCTTAATAATGATAAAAAGAAAATCATTTTAATAAACAATATTATTGTTACGAGAATGATATAAGTATAGCTATGCAAAAAGAATAAAACATGATTCTTATACTTCGATATCCTTATGTGTTATATCGGATCTGATTTCGAATATAAATAAAATTAAAAGTAAAAATTTAAAAATTTAAAAATATATTTGAGATGAATAATCTCTGAATAAATTATATGAAAGTTTATAAAATCATTAAATAACCGCAGTTAAGATTTTCAAAAATTAAATATACGACTAAAACTTCCAACTGGGTCAGTTTGGAGCACTAGAGGTGAGAACCTAAGCAAACAAAAAAAATAATAAAAAAATAAAAAACTTGAAAATTTAGGAAAAAATAATACAATTGCTGCAGCCGAAGAAATCGAACCATAAAAACAAAACTTCAAAAAAAAAATAAAGAAAATATTGGCAATTGAATCATTTTTTTATGTATTTATTTATTTTTGGTAATATAGTTCGCGCTCAAATTGTTATCAAAAGAATTGTTGTTACATAAATAATATGAAAGATGTATTTTAAAATGACCATTTTTGACATCAGGGATCAATTAATTGGAATTTTAGTCATCCAAGCCGTAAGTTCTAGAGAATACCGTAGCAAAGCCATGCGAAGGAATTTATAATATAAATGAGCTTCGTTTCGCTCTTGGTTAACGATAGGATTTGAACAACATTGTAATTAGATCTTTTTCTCTTGAGCCAATTACAAAGCGCCAGCTGATGCAGTAATTGTGCATTTATTTGTATTCTTTATCATTTATAATAAAACTATTTCCTTTATTTTATTTAATAAAAACTTTATTACTTTATACGTTAAAAAAATCTACATGCTATTTTCATTACATTGTTATTGACTATACTAAACTATAAAATCATCTACAAATTACCTCTCTTACGCAAATAGGAGGTAACTGAATCAATGTTGATAAATTGATCAGTATTTATTATAACGATATGTTTAAATATAGTCCATTTACCAGCCACAATTCATTATATCTGAAAGTATTATATCAAATTCATATTCTTTCAAAGCTATTCTAAAATAATTATAAAAGAACATAAAGTGGATCACCAATAATAAACAAACAGTTTCAAATGAAAAAATATAAATCTCTTTTATTAATATGCAACGAAAATATAGAAGATAGACTTTAATTTCAATGTTAATTTCAATATAAATATAGAACTTAAAATGTTATATATATTTATAATTCACATCTTTAAAAATACTCAATTTTGAAATTATTAATTAAACTAAATTCAGAATTTGGAAAGAATAAACATCCAAATATAGTCAAGGGAAATAAATTTTGTAGTTTTCAGAGATATTATCGTAAGCTTTAACTCATAAAGTTTATAGGCGAATATTTTAGAACGTGATGTAATAATTCGCATCCATTTAAATAGACTCTCCACAATGCTTTCCAAACTATTGAAATTATTTTTTATGATTATACTTCAGTGTGTAATGACTTCAGAATAGAAAAATATTTAGCTACGGCCAAAGTTAAATAATTATTGCTGGTATTGTCAAATTCAAATACTTTCTATTATTTTCAAGAATTTGATCACAGGTTCGCGATTTGAAAAATTCAAGTGCAAATTTGCAATCGTTGAAGGCACCTTTTGTAATTCACCAAAATCTTCGCGGATTGTTAAGAATAAAAGTACGATAGAATAGTTCCACCTTATAGTCACTGACCTCGGAACCTATAATGAGTGATAATAAAGGTATGTTTACATAAAAGGTTTGTGGTTATATCCTGGACCTCCTGCCATTATCATTATTATATAGCTTATTTATAGTTTAAAAAGTTTAAAATACCAGAATTTAAAATTAATTTTTATAGATTATTTTTCTTAATTTTAATAATATTAAATAAAAGTCTTTCGAACATTTATATTCAAAAACGAGTCTTTCTTTATAAATGAATTAAAAGATAATTTAGAAAGTGCCGTGTAGCTTTAAGAGAATCGCAAACCATTTTCTACGAAAATGTACTGCCAAGAAATTAAATTATGAGGGATGTATTCACAAGCTATAATAAATCGATCTTTAGCAGGATTAAATGCATGAAAATTTAAAGCTAGATCTACCAGATATACTAAGGTAATTTGCTTGATTATTTTTTACAAGAATACACAAAAATAAAGAGGAAATTTGGTAAGCTACATGAAAAAGAACAATAGTTGTTAATGATATTTCCTTTACAAGAAAAATTCTTAACCAAATGAAACACTTTTTAAAATTCAAAAGATTACGAAACTTCCTTCAAAACGAAAAAATGAATTAACTGGCTATTATCGGATTAAATTCGTTAAATGTAGTAATATTACTATTAACTAGCAGTTCTACCCAGGCGATTCCCCGGGCGTTTGCCAACAAAACGTGAAATTTCAATTTATCTTAAAATTTATTGTGTAAAATATAAATATATATTAATTTGTAATTAAACCAACCTAACTCTAATCTAACCTTAACTCGTTGGGGTTGGTTAATAAAATAACCTAACCAAATCCTAATCCTCACCTCACACAATCTTAACTAACCTAACCTAACCTTAATCAGACTCGAACCCTAACTAATCCTAACTAACTCTAACCTAAATTCCAACCCGTACCAAACCTTTGATATTTAATAAAAAGTTTGCAATAAATGATATATGATTGATTAGAATTTTGCCACGTAGTGCCAAATCATATTTTATTGCAAACTGTAAAGTAATCATTAAAATAATAATTAATATTATTTAATGATAATTTTATCTATTATTGAGGCTAATTTTTATTTTTATTTTTAATGCGAAATTTTTTCACATTAGTTATTATTCAAATTTAATTTAATTTGGATTTTTTTTTTTAAAACTTGTTATGAATTTATTTACAATCCGTTATCATTTTTTTATGAAATTATTTATTTTTGTTGATTATGTGACTTTTATTTGCGCAAATCTTATTAAATGCATGTGCCATCTTTCAAAATATAATATATTTTATTCCTTTATTTTTGACAATTAAAAAAAAAAAATATAAAAACACTCCGTAAAACTAATAAAATAATCCCCTGTCACAATAAGTGTCACTTATGTCTACCTTTATCATTATTTTTACACGTGATTAATTAATTATATTGTGACCGGTAATCTTCATTCTACTTATTTTGTAATCTTATATTGATAACCGGGAATCTCTAATTTTATTAAAATTTTTGTATTAATTGAACACTTACTAGTTTATTTATTGAATTTAATTTTACAATTTAATTTCTATAAGCATTTTTATTCCATTATCTAAAGAAATGGTTCCTATATAAAAGCATTAATCACATTAAAATGTAATGTTGATATTAGTATTACTACAAATTTTACTGAAATCTTGGGAGTTTGAGATTTTTTTATTCCAATTCTTCTTCTTCCGATGCCTTCGAAAATCCTATAAAAATGTATTAGTTTTGATAAGATGGTAACTTTAAATATAAAAATTTAACATATCTAATTTATTGGTATAATTAGATGAATCCTTCAATGCTAGAAAGATAAAAATAAGCATAATATAAATAATTTTTAGTAATAAACTTTAAATATATGTAGAAACTTACCTGCTTTTGTAGGAATCAAAAGAGAAGCATTATCTCTTTTACGTTTAATAGATTGATGTTGATAGGCTGTTTTATGTGAGAAAATATCATTTGTTCAAGTGTAAGTGTAATAATAGATTCTACAAACTTGTGTATACCTATTTATCGCATTGAATGAAATGATTGCGTTGCATGCAGTTTGAAGTGTTTATCAATTATAAACAAGGAAAAAGATAAGCATAAGATTTAATTGTAAAGTCGGGATCTCTAATTAAATAAGTACGATGAGCTACATTATGTATGACTCTCAAAGTGAACTTAAATTTTAGAATTAGTCACTTCAATATACAGACGCTGTTTACGGAATGCCATGTGTTTTCGTTGATTTTTTTATTAGGTTCATCGGTAAAAGTGCTACCAGTAAAACAATTTCCAATGACCTAGGCAACAGGATGACATGCGTGCCAATTAGCAGTAAGCGACATTACAATGATGAAGGACGAAGAATTGCCAAATTCATCAAAGTCTAAATATGCAATAAGACACCAATTTTACCAAACGAGTCGTGAGAATCAAGTACAACTTCAATTGAAATTAATCCATTGAGAGAGAGTATATTGAAATCTGATTTTCTCAAGTTCTTTTATACATTCATCTATTTATCATATTATAATAGCAATCCAATTATTTTTTTCTCCTTGTAGACTAGATAATCGACCATGGATAAATAAAAGGATGTGAGTAATTGACATTACGCTGTTGTACTGCTGCAAAACATTTGGAGAATCACTTCGTTTCTTTGGAAGGCGATCTTCGACAGTTTTTGAAATTAGTAAAATCACATCATTTTATAACTATGTTGCTTACATAAAGGTTATCATCAGTTGTTCAGACATAATTTTCGTCAAAAATTAATGTGAATTATACGAGTTCAGGAAATTCTTTGGATAAATTTAAATTATATCAAAAGTAAATGTCAAAAACTTGTAGAGATTTGAAAATTATTCGTAAATGCTCTAAAATCTAAAAGTTATCCATTTTTATTATCTTTTGAAGATTTCGTTATCAGACCAACATGAAAAAAGTTTAGAAGTGCCATTATGTTAAGATGTCTTGTTGGGAATGATAGACAAATAAAGAAAAAAAAATAGATGACTTAAATTATTCATTTAGAAAATATGGGGCCTTTGCAATAGAAAGGGGGGAAACTGCCAGGAAAAATTAATTTTACTTTATATGCCAAATATGATTTTTATGCTGAAATATGTTCAAATTTAGCATTAACTCACTTTGGATTTTTTCGGCTGTTTCCCACCTTTCTATTGCAAAGGCCCCATATGTATAATTTTACCTAAAGAATTTAATTCGATAGTTAGTTACCATTAATAAAGACTTTTTTATTCATTATATTCCATTCTTTTTTATCGGTTGATTGTAAAAATATAAACAGAAATTGGGAACGCAAACTATAAATTTAACTTATGAGAACTATATAAAGGTTACGCAATATGAACAGACGTTCATAATTAAGGGTTTAAATTCAAATTGAGTTTAAATGTTCGAAGGATTCAAAAATCGTAAGTTTGGTTTGTTTATTAGGGAATGAATTCTTTTACTAAAAGTAAAATTAAGGTAGAAAAAAATTTATCTATTCAAATTTGTTAAAGTCATTTTGAAGATTTGCTATAACTCGTAATTTGATTTTAATATCAAATGACCCAAGAACAACTAATATTATATTACTATGCCATTATAAATAAAAACATCATCTTCAAAACTAGCTTAATAAAAAGCACACAAAAAATCATATATAAATCAATATACAATTTATTTTGTTAATTTGAGAAATCAATGCTGGGATGCGAAGAGGAGATTGGTTTAATTCCTAAGTTATAGGAGTATACTTCGGAATATATGGATCAGTTAAATTAAAATAAAATTATACATCACATGATTTATAATTGATTTTATATCTATATGGCTTTGGGGTCGTATATTTTCCTCCCACATATGCTATTTTAGCGTATGCTAACTTAGGTTTAATAGGATTTAAGAACTTTTAAATTTAATTTATATTAATTAATTAAGTATTTAATTAATTATTTTTATTTTATTTATAATTAATTTTAATAAAATAATAAAAATGAAGACTTTAATAAGGATTTATTTTTAAGTTAGTAAAGTCGAATCAAAGTTTTTCTTAATATTTTAATCAAGTTGTTAAAAAATAAGTAATTTTAATATAATTCATAGGTTAGATCTTACCGAAAAGTATCTCAAAAAATTTGTTACTTGTGCTAATATAAAAAATGAAAAGCATTTAATAATTAATAAAAATCAATCAGTTATTTTAAAATGTGCTGATAAAATTGTTGGAGAAGTTATCTGTGATGCAGTAAAAAAATGTTGCAAATTATTTTGAATATAAAATGAAAAACACAATTAAGATTCATATTAAAATAAATTGTGAACAAAAATCCCAATTTGATTTAGAAAAATTAGTTAGTCATAGTATTCGTTATCTTTAACTAACTTATATATATACAAAGAAAATAATCTTAATCTAGCGACACAAAGGATATTTAATCAAGATAATGATAATTTTGAAAAATAATTATATAAAAATGCTGAAAAGCATTTATCATAATAGTGTTAGTGAAATATAAGCTGTATATAGTACAGCTAAATTTAATTTAAGTAAAGGTGATATTTGATATACTTTACACTTTAACTAAAAATCTGCAAGAGTAATAGAAATAAGCAGAATTATAGAAAATTAGATTTTTATTATTATTTATTTATTGGTTTTATTTTTATATAACTAAATAAACTTTTCAATAAAAAAATTATTGATAAGATTTTTATTAAATAAAAATTATTAAATTAAAAATTTATAAACTTGTAAACTTATAGATTTATTATAACTAAATTTTAAATC